AATTAAAAAGTGTTTTGATAAGATGGGACAATATGCGTTCCAAGCTTATGTAGAGAAGCACTTTACTGTGGATCGATTTTACAGGACAATTGTCAAGTCACACTCTGTGATTAATGGTGTATTTTTCTGGACTCAGTTTGGTGAACTGAATGGATTGCAAGACTTGAATGAGGAAATCATCTGCCAGACTAAAACATTCATCAGAGATCCTCAAGTTTGTTACCATGTCGCTTGTCGAAACAAGAGTGACCCTAACAGACCACTTTACTTTGCAAAAATAGATTGAACATGGCATCGAATATTGGTTCGCTTTACCAAGTAAGCGTATTGCAAGAGTACTTCAAACGCTGGGAACATATTTTCATCTTTATTCATTCACCACTCTTTTTACCTCACGGCTTCGAGATATCTCACACAATTCTTAGCGGAGTGGATCAGCCATCTACATATTACTTGCAGTTCAGAAGGATGATTGTCAATCTTCTTCCAGCTCCATATAAATCTAATTGTATTCAATATCGTGATTCCAAAGGAAAACTCCAATCACAGGCACAACATTACGAGCAATGTGTCAACAATAAAACTCTACAATTGAATCCTAGTTTAGTTTTTTACCGAACACTGATTGTCGATCCAAATAATACGAAGGCCAATTTCGTAAATAGACTAAGATTCAAACCAAAGTACGCTGATCTTTTAGAGGAAATCCATGATACGTGCAGACAAGTAACTCTAAACTCTGAGTGTCGTAAATTGTTTTATGCCACAGCACTGATTGGCTATGAAGATTTGATCAACTCAAATGCAACTCTCTTTACGATCATGAATTCAGTTGAACCCGATTTGAATAAAACTACTATAGCAGATTTCCCGTTGGGTTCCTATATCATATACATTGGCTCCACTCTTGGTACTTGGTTTGGGTTCAGCATGTATCACTATTTTCATGTAATCTATAATAAATTGAAGCCACTAACTGTAAGACAGGAGAGGAGGAAGAAGAAGATGAATAAATTGGTTAAACATAAAGAGGGTAAAAAAATGGACTCCGTTGGGGTTTCGTTTATAAACTTACATGATTCTCAACGCACCATTCAACCAAAAAAGACCAAAGCAAAGACAATAGCGTGGTGATGGATGAACCAAGTTACAATAAATAAAACTGTGAATATACTTGAATACCAGTCGTTACTAAATGGAAAGAATGACTAAAATTAATGTCTTTCAGATTTAGACTCTGTAAAGACATGAAAACTAAGTTCATTTGTATGATTTAGAAGTTTCTCCGATTGATAGTTTTTGAGAAAATTAAGTTCGAAGTTTTAACTTCCATCGCTTTTCGTCCCATTATGGAACAAGATTTGTCCGGCAAGCTAATTATACTGATGTGAGTTTACGATTGTGAACTAGAATAAGCACTTATATCGAGAAATAAAACTTTCCGTTTTCTGTAAAACTGATTAGTTCGATTTTTAGTCAAATCGACCTCTTTCTATGACCATTAGAGTTAGAGAAATGAAACTTAATATTCTTCGATGAAAATTGTCCGTACATATCATGGATTGGTCACTTTTTTCAATTCATAGACTGTTCTCTTGATTTAGGCCATTTGCCTTAAAACTTTGAGCTTCGATATTTCGTGAATGGTAGCAACTGCAATCACAATTCTTTCGGAAATCATTAGCTTTTATTATTATGATTACCGGTCACCAATCGAACAACTTGTGCCTGAAATTTAATGGTCACATTATTAGTTTGAAGCTAAATAATTGCAAAGATTGAACACTATTGTTCACATTTCACTTTAAATGAATATATTGCAAGCTTAAAACAAACAAACAAGTGAGACTTTGAATCAATTCTCAATTATCAATCTCATCATTTAATTATTGTGTTCTTCGAAGTTTAAACACTGTTGTTCTGTAGGGAGATGAAAACTGAACGCATATGAGTGCTTCAAAATTTTCTCAGATGAACAGTGTTTGAGAAAATCGCGTTCGAAGTTGAAACTTTGATCGCTTTTTGTGCGCTTGTTAAAGCTAATTTTTCCATGAAACTCATTCTCTTGATGTAATTGCTGATTGGCGACCAGAAAATGCAGTTAGGCTGAGAAGGTGATGGGTAACCATCTGAAGCAAGGGGATCAACACTTATTGAGTCAATTGGCTTTCCTTTTATTCCGTTTGTTGATTCATTTTGCTTTTGTTGTTGTTGCTGTTTAAGTAACAATAAAAGTTGTTGTTCTTGTTGATGAACATTTCTTACGATCCTATATACGCCGTTATCGTGGCTATATTACTCGAGGTATACTCTGTTCAGAATTACCTGATGAATCTTCAGAACCCATATTTAGACCATCAGACAAAAGCGCTCTATAAGTATTAATGGGCAACTCTTCAAATGAATTGTATAAACAGTTACGGTCTTCAGGCGATTCTGAACCCTGACGAGTTGCTTGCTAATGGATCAATTGGTGGACATGTGGAATTATCAGTTTCACAATTGATGCATTTACTATCCATAGATAGATGGAATCGGAACTTG